CCTAAACCCTAACCCTAAACCCTAAACCCTAAACCCTAAACCCTAAACCCTAAACCCTAAACCCTAAACCCTAAACCCTAAACCCTAAACCCTAAACCCTAAACCCTAAACCCTAAACCCTAAACCCTAAACCCTAAACCCTAACCCTAAACCCTAAACCCTAAACCCTAAACCCTAAACCCTAAACCCTAAACCCTAAACCCTAAACCCTAAACCCTAAACCCTAAACCCTAAACCCTAAACCCTAAACCCTAAACCCTAAACCCTAAACCCTAAACCCTAAACCCTAAACCCTAAACCCTAAACCCTAAACCCTAAACCCTAAACCCTAAACCCTAAACCCTAAACCCTAAACCCTAAACCCTAAACCCTAAACCCTAAACCCTAAACCCTAAACCCTAAACCCTAAACCCTAAACCCTAAACCCTAAACCCTAAACCCTAAACCCTAAACCCTAAACCCTAAACCCTAAACCCTAAACCCTAAACCCTAAACCCTAAACCCTAAACCCTAAACCCTAAACCCTAAACCCTAAACCCTAAACCCTAAACCCTAAACCCTAAACCCTAAACCCTAAACCCTAAACCCTAAACCCTAAACCCTAAACCCTAAACCCTAAACCCTAAACCCTAAACCCTAAACCCTAAACCCTAAACCCTAAACCCTAAACCCTAAACCCTAAACCCTAAACCCTAAACCCTAAACCCTAAACCCTAAACCCTAAACCCTAAACCCTAAACCCTAAACCCTAAACCCTAAACCCTAAAACCCTAAACCCTAAACCCACTAAACCCTAAACCCTAAACCCTAAACCCTAAACCCTAAACCCTAAACCCACTAAACCCTAAACCCTAAACCCTAAACCTTAAACCCTAAACCCTAAACCCTAAACCCTAAACCCGGCGCGCGAGCAGGACAGGGCGCGCGGCGGCGCGGCGCGCGGGAAGGGCAGGGCGCGCGGCAGCGATCGGCGCGCGGGCAAGGCAGGGCGCGCGGCGGCGGGCGGCGCGCGGGTAGGGCAGGGCGCGCGGCGGCGCGACGCGCGGGCAGGGCAGGGCGGCGTCGCGGCGCGGCGCGCGGGCAGGGCAGGGCGCGCGGCGGCGAGCGCGCGGGCAGGGCAGGGCGGCGCGGCGGCCCGGCGCGCGGGCAGGGCAGGGCGCGCGGCGGCGAGCGGCGCGCGGGCAAGGTAGGGCGCGCGGCGGCGGGCGGCGCGCGGGCAGGGCAGGGCGCGCTGCGGCGGGCGGCGCGCGGGCAGAGCAGGGCGACGCGCGGGCAAGGCGGCACGGCGCGACGGCGGGCGGCGCGCGGGCAGGGCGTGCGCAGGCAGCGCGACGAAGGGCAGGGCAGGGCAGCGAGGCGCTAACACGGCAACGCGACGGGTGGAGTAGCGCGACTCGGTGGGCCCTAAAAAAACGGTCCTAGGCTAGGACCTGCTTTGAAACCATGTCAGAAGAATGAACGAGAATAAATGTACTAGCAGCAAGATGGGTACAAGTAGCAAACCCTAATTGGGTTGTACCCCTTATGGGCTACCCCACTATAGCATACACAATAAGCAGCATATAAGTTTGACAAGGAAGAACGTGGGCGCGATGGCGAGGGGAGAGAGGAACGTGAGCGCGATGCCGATGGGAGGGGAGGACGTGAGCGATAGGAGATGAAGTGGGCAACGGGATGGGAGGGGAGATTGCAAGGGCGACGGGAGGGAGAGCGTGAAGGCGACGGGAGGGGAGATTGAAAGGGCGACGGGAGGGAGAGCGCGCAGGCGAGAGCGCGCAGGCGACGGGAGAGAGAGCGCGAAGGCGACGGGAGGGGAGATTGAAAGGGCGACGGGAGGGAGAGTGCGCAGGCGACGGGAGGGAGAGCGTGCAGGCGACGGGAGAGAGAGCGCGAAGGCGACGGGAGGGTGAGCGCGAAGGCGACGGGAGGGGAGATTGAAAGGGCGACGAGAGGGAGAGCGCGCAGGCGACGGGAGGGAGAGCGCGCAGGCGACGGGAGAGAGAGCGCGAAGGCGCGAGACACGAAACTAGCCCCTGCGGAAGGGTAACGATCACATGCGGAAGGGAATAGATTACGATTCTAAGCTACGTAACAGTCTCACGCATTCCTGCAGGGTTGATGGTTACTTACCTTGGCCACAAACACCTATTGCTGTCAGCTAAAATATGCTAGGAATAAAACTAGTGACTTCGGGATGGAGAGCAGCTAGTCATGAAACCCAGTTCCAACTTGAAACCAACGTTGGCCTGTCGATGGAAACCATCGCTGTGCAGCAGTCGTGCAGGTGTAGCACGTAGACATGCGACGAGGGAGACCCGCATGGTAAAAAAATTTGGCAGGAAAGAATCAAGATTGGCGAAAGCCAATCACATTTGTTCACAGTGCTACTCGTTTTCTTTGGAACAGTGCTTTATCGGCCCGCTCTCTGCAGCACCATTTCAAGCTGGGACAGAGTTCATTATTTTATATTTCAGTTTTAATACCTCACTCGCATGGCATGCCATCCGAATAGATTTCGTTTTTTCTGCCCACGTTTCAGTCGTCGAAGCTGCAACGATGCGTTGTCCAAGCAAACGGAAGCGTAGACAGCTGGTCCGTTGAGATATATTGTGCTAACATACAGACCAGATATATAGGTGCTTCATCCTCCAAACGCGTACCAAGTGTCGTCTGACACCCGCCATCATCGCGCGGATGGGTCGATCGCTTCCGCAAAAGTTCCCTCCCAAACCATGTCTCTCCTCCAATCGTGGTACAGTATGTTCTCGAAGTTCCCTCCCCGTATCGATCATCCTCCGCCAGTCCCTCCCACCTTCCATCCCAAGGCATCGCCAGTTCCCAACGCATGATCGCGAGGGAGTTTTTCTCAGAAGAGCAACTCTCGGAACCGCGAGGTGATTTCAAGGACCGCGGATTACGGATCACACTCCAGCCGACGCCGAGTAACTAAGGCGAGGGTGTTTCAGAGCTGATTTTGTCCCATCCAAGCTCGGTCCTTGGTCGCCTGGGTGAGCCACGGGCTGGTACTAAGCGAACTTTCCACATCAGACCACCGACTTGTAGCTACGGCAGGAGGAATTAGTCCGCATTGAAGGGAACCCGCTGTCCCCGCCGTCAGCCGCGCGGAATGATCAACGTGGCACTGCTGCTCGGCTAACCGTCACACAGAAAATTCCGTAAGGCCCTCGGCTCTGCTTTTTTAGACAGAACTGCAAGGAATCGGCGTCGGTCGGTCGAAGCCGGTTAGCTTCCTCTCGTTTCGATCCGACGCTGCTGTTGATCCGACAGCGCGGAAACTTACTCGTCGACTCGACAATCACCTTCCTTGAAATGGCTCTCGCCACCTGTTTCTTTCTAAGACGCCTCTGGATCCTTGAAATCCTTAGCTGTTCCGTCAAATTCCGTCAGGTCTCGAGACAGCCGAATGTCGACGGATCTAGGACCCTTATAATTGGATGGCCAGGATTCCAGACCTGCTCGTCCACGTATACTTGATAGACAGTACTTTGTGCCTGGCTATGGTCCTTTGTGCACGGCTCTCTGTGTAAGGCGTTCATCTGTCCATCTTGATAGTTTCCTTCCGAATATCTCGGATTCTCGTACAGACGTTCCATTTCCCGCACGTTCTCGCCCTCCACAGGCACCTCCCCGTCTCTAGTAACCTGTCGCGAATCTTACTCTTCTCGCTTCGTCTCCCTCGCTCCGCCTCGCTTCGTGAATCAGCTTTCACATTTGAAAAGTTCTCCATGCATTCTGCTCCTCCCCTCTCACCCCTCACCCCTCCCTTTCCCATTTCTCCCCCCTCTCTCATCCCTGGTCCTCATCCCTGAATCCCTTCCCCCCTCTCCATATCTCTCCTCTCATCCTTCCCCTCATCCATCCCTTCATCCCTCCTTCCCCTCATCCCTCCCGTCCCTCATCCCTCCCCTCATCCTTCCCTCCCTGATCCTCCGCAGCAGCGACAGCCATGGGTGGTCCCCCCGGCTCCAGGGCTCCCCGGCAGGGCCGCGCGGCGGGCGGAGGGGGCGGGCTGGGCGTGGGGGTGCGCGGAGCTGGCGCGGGCGAGGGCTTACGTAGCAGCGATGGCGGAGGGGGAGCGGGGGGGTCCGCGGGAAGTGGGGGCGGGGGCCATGGCAACGGGGGCGGGAGACCGCGGAAAACGTCCCGCCTGCTGCTGCATATCCGCGTGCACTATCGCCGGTTGCTTCTCAGAGGGGGAGTTGCGCTGGCCGCGCTGCTGCTGCTGGCGCTTCTGCTGCGCGGAGCAATGCGCCTGGGGGGAGGGGCGGGGGGCGAGGGAGCTGCGCCAACGGGGAGAAGCGGTCGGGGGGGTTCGAATAGGAAGCTGGGCGCGCCTGGGGATGGCGGAAGCGGAGAGGGGAGAGGGGACGACGGGCGGGGGGGGGGGAACAGAGACGTTGCGCGTGGGGGGACGGGGCAGGGGGAGGCGGCGGGAAATAGAGGCGCAGGGTTGGTCCGCGTGGCCCTGGATAGGGGGGGTGTGGGGGCGAGGAGGGGGAGGGGCACGGACGTGTACGAGGCGAGCAGAGAGGGCGAGATAGTGAACGCGTGGGATGCGCAGTATGGGCTGGAGATTGACGTGTGGGACCCACGCACGCACAACCCCCTCAAGAAGCAGCTGTACGTCAAAGTCGGGGTCTGCGTCTGAGTCTACGTCTGAGTCTACGTCTGGGTCTCGGTGAAGGCCTAAATCTAGGTGTAGGTTCAAACCCGGGGTCCATAGCCTTCGAAGGTAGGAGCGTTGGTTGGGGCGAGAGACTCTTTTGGCCCGCGAAACAGGATGCTGTTAAAATCGATAGATGCGGGTCGCAGAGAAAGCTATTCTCGCCGATTTGCACAGCACTCGTCTTCACTGGTGGAGTAATCTTGAGAAGCGAAGCTATTGAGACTGTGTGAAGTGGTTCGCTATCAACTTGGTGACACCCAACCAAAGGTAGGAAGGATGAGGCAATCTGGGGGAGATTTGAGACTCTTGTTTTATGTCTACGTGTAGGTTTAATTCTAGGCTGCTTCCTCGTGAGTGCCCCCCTTCCCTCTCCCCCAACCCCCTCTTCTCCTGGTCTTCCCTCCTCCTCCCATTCTTTCTCACCTCTTCTCTTCCTCTCCCTATGCCTCCCCTCCCACCTCCCTCCTTTTTCCTCTCCACTCATAGGCCCCAATCAACTCAAGGCTCGGATCAGAGGTGCAGGTGGCAAGGGGCAAGGTAAAGGCGCCGTATCTGTCCACCTGAATCCTATCACTCATTCACAGCGGCCCCTCCCTCACTCTCCCTCCTTCCTCTCTCTCCTCCCTTCCTCCCTCTCCCCCTTTTCCTCCCTCTCCCCTTTTTCTCCCTCTCCCACCTTCCCCCCTCCTCCTGGCCTCTTCTCCTCCTCGCATGTCTCCCCCAATCAGCTCGGAGCTGGGATCAGAGGTGCAGGTGGCAGGGGGCAAGGACAAGGCGCACTACCTCGTGGCACTGGTGGTACACCACCTCAACAGGTCCTCCAACATCTCGCTCTACGAGTGCCGCCAGGTGGGCGTGGGTCGGATTGTGCGTGCTGGTGGGGTGCGGTTATTAGGCGAGTCGTATACACGTGTTTTCAGTAAGAGTGTTTCCAGTATAATTGTCTTTTATAAACGTGTCTCTGATAGACTTGTCGTCTTCAAGTCCCTGTATTCCCCTTCGTTCCCTGCCCTCATTCCCTCCCACTCCACCTTCCCTCTCCTTCCCTCTTTCCTCCATCCTGCAACCATCGCTACTACACACATATGATCGTGCACTGGGACACGTCGTTCCCTGCCATTATTCGCTCCGTCTTCCCCTCCTTCCCTCCACCCCCCCCCCACTGCTCCCACATCCCATCAAGCTTAGCAGTGGTCTCCGTATTTCAAGTCTTCTTCGTCCCTCCGGCGTTGCCCACCCCGTGCCCCCCTTCTCCTTCCTCCGATCACTCGCTCCCTCCTCCCCTAACTCCCTCCCTCCACCTGCTTCTTCCACATCTCATCCTACGTGCCAGTGGGTTGAGTACCCTAAACATGCAATCTCAACCCCACTCTGAACCCTCATTTCCATCCTCCTCCCCTTATTCCCTCCCTCGTCCCCCCATTCTCTCGCCTCTCCTGCCACTCCCGCTTCCCATGGTGCGTGCCAGTGGGTTGAGTACCACAAGTATGCGGGCGTCTCACATGTCGTGTGGTACGACACGTCTACAGACTCCCGGGATTCTATTGTAAGCGTGTATCCCTAACTCCACGTGTGGTTCTAGGATGTTATGCTAGGTGCTATTGTTGGCACTTTGCGTGTGTGTAATTGTGTTGTTTCTGTACATGTGCGCCTGGGCAAGGTAGTGGGGCGATTCGCAGCTTCAAGGCAAGTGTAAAGCGGCTGTTTATCGAGTCTGGTGGTGAAAGTAAGAGGTAAGATGGAATGTCGGTTTGCAACCGTTTGTTGTGCGAGCTCGCATCACCCCCCCCCGCCCCCGTCACTCCTCCCGTCCGTTCTCACATCTTATCCCCATTTCCTCCACCCACCTCCCCTCTTTCCTAATTATCTCTCCCGTCCCTATTCACTCCCCCCCACGCCTCCTCCTCCTCCTCCTCCTCCTCCTCCTCCTCCTCCTCCTCCTCCTCCTCCTCCTCCTCCTCCTCCTCCTCCTCCTCCACCACCACCCCCCCCCCCCCCCCCCTGCACACACGTGCACCCCCACCACGGCAATGCAGGAGGCAGCATGGCGGCCATACATCCGGGACGGCTTCCTCACCCTGCACTCCTTCCGCCACCTCTTCCCCTCCTTCGACCCACAAGGCGCCGCCTCCAAGGACGACCAGGTGAGAGACGGATGCGAAACGGCAAGAGCATTTTGTAGCACGGTGCACGCTCAGACTCGTACCCGAGTCAGCTGTTTGCACAATGCTCCCACAAAGTGCTCTGCTCGTGGCTTGCAAAGATTTGCCCTCCAAGGACGACCAGGTTAGAGTCAGATGTGCAACGGCAGCAGCATTTTGTATGACGGCGCTGAAACGTGCACAAGATTAAACGTTTACACACTGCTCATGAAACATGCTCATGAAACATGCTCATGAAACTTGTTCAGGAAACGTGCTCTCTTTGACTTCTACAGGTCAGAGGCACCAAATGGCATTCGTAAGAGAATTCCCTTCTCGCTTCTCACCGTCCTATGTATAACCTGAACTGAAATATTCTGAGTTTTCCCTGCTACCTCACTCTCTCCATCCTTCCTTCCTACTCCTTCCGTACTCGTTGGTTCCAACGCCTTCCTTCCGTGCTGTCACTGCTGCTGTTTCTACTCGATTCAACAGTCTCCCTGCGTAACCACTACTTCCCTCATCCCCTGCCTCCCACTGTCAAGGTGACCCTGCACTTCCTGACCACTGACCACCCACGGCCCCCATCACGGCACGGCCTAGCTCAATGAGTCTCAAAGTAGTCTTCTTGGACAGGCACCGCAGTCTCAGCTTCTTGGGCGCCTCACACCTCTCCCCCTCCCTCTCTCCCCACTCCTCACTCCTCACTCCCCTCTCCCCACTCCCTCCTCCCCAGGCGACCCTGCACTTCCTGACCACGCACGGTCCGCAGACGGCCTGGTTTGTGCGCCTGCCGGTCTCCTCCTTCCTGTTTGCCCCCGGGGATGTGAAGCCAGGGTTCCTGGATCGGTTTCTGAGGGAGTATGAGGCGCACAGGCAGCAGGCGTCGCAACTGCTGCTGCAGATGCTGCACTTCGTGGGGCCTGGCGAGGTGCGTGGGAAGGAGGGATGTGGGTGGATTGATGTGGGGGGAGGGATGTGTGGGGATTGATGTGGGGGGAAGGATGTGGGGGGAGGAATGTGTGGGGATTGATGTGGGGGAGGGATATGTGGGGATGGGTCATGAAATGCCCAAGGTGAATGTAGGGAAGTTGAATTGGATGTCCGGAAAAGGGTCAGCAGGTGGGGAGTAGAGGAGCAAAAAAAGCACGTGCCCTGTTCTTGTGTGCTGCAGCTACTTCCGTTTATGTGTCCCCCTGGTACTGCCGCCTCCTTCTGGGTCTCAGAAACCAGTGCCGTCTCTTCCCCCAACTTCTCAGTGACCTTTTCCCTCTCCCAGTTCCCCTTTCTCACCTCCCCAAGACTCATCCCTCTCTCTCTCTCTCCTCCCCGGCTCCCTCCCATCCCTCTCTGGTATCACAGCAGCGCCCCCTTCCTGCTCTGCTCTTGGAGAGATTCGTGCATCGCACGGAGCAGACAAGGGGGGCGTCCCTGCAGAAGTTTGCACAGATGACTGCAGTGGTGAAGCCGGATAGCGTGCTTCGTCTCTTCTGGCACCACCCGCATCACCTGGAGATGAGCAAGGGGGATACTGTGGTGCTGCCGGCAGCGCTGCTACGCGTGCACTCGTTCGAGAAAGCGGTTACAGGGGAAGGGGTGGAAGGTGAGAAATGGAAGTTGTGTTAGGGGGGCTTGCGTTTATTTTGTGGAGCTGTTCGTGCGTTTGATTGTTTAATGTGTGCTGATGTTTTAATCTTCTGTGTTTGTGTGTGCTGGTGATGCATTCAGGTGAGGAAGTGGTGACGGATACATCGATGCTTCCTCTTGCAATTGAGTTGAACCAAATGCTCAACAAGGACTCGGGTGTGCGGCAAAGAGCGGGAGGTGGAGGTGCTTCCACACGTTTTGGACAATGAATGTGTTTTTTTTGTATTTAATAACCGAAGTATGAGCATTTTTGCCAGTTATTCATTTCACACCTGCTTGTTTTCAGGATGTATATCAAGCATGAACTAGCTGGAAACCTTGTTGAGCGTTACAATTCAATTTCGCAAACCTGGCCGCCATCGCTTCACTTGGCTTCCAACCAGAGCGAAACAAGGCTGGTTCCAATCGAAGTATAGGCTCGGTTTGGCTGGATCCAGAATCTTACAACACGATCTAGCTCGGTTCAGCCTGGTTTAGCTTGGCACAAACTCCACTCCGACAAGAGAGCTCAACTCCCTTCATCTCGGGGCTCATTAGGTTTTGACATCAAAAGCAGCTGTTTTATCTTCACCGTTCTAAACCACGACACAACAGGCCAAACCGTGGTCAGCGACTCGGAGAAGCAACTTGCGGAACACGAGACGAGAGCTGGCAGGCGTGCTCCGCTGTAAAATAAAGACCAACCAAACCCGCCTCGTCAGTTCGTTTCTTGCTGTTCACACGGATTCTACTCCCGCGATAATCGGAGAATGCTGCGCGTCGAATGGCGTCGTCCTCGTCAGTCCCTTTCTTAGCGTCGTCTTCCCTCAACGGCGCCCTCGCCTCGCGCCTTTCTGATACGTCTCAGGTAGCGGCGCGCTTGCTAGGAGTTCGCACGCCTGAGTGTTTCTGCTTGTTTTTTACCGTTCGGTGCTCTGCGCGTCGCTACCACTAGCGAAGCCGTTTTTCGTGCCAATTATAGCGTACATAACAGCACCGCCGCGTATTAGAAAAAAAACAATTGTATTTTGAGCAGCTTCACTCCGTTTAGAGTGCTTCCCTCTACCTTCGCCCTCCCCACCTTTCCTCCTCTCCCCAGGCCGAGCCATCCCGAACCACAGCGTACGAAACGGACAGACTAGCCACGGCGACGCGCATGACTCCCGCAATGGACGGGCAAGCCGTGGGCGAGCGAATGTACCGACGGAAGCGCCAGCGGGCGTCTTTAGGCGGCAGCGCCATCTCCGATCAGGACTCGGAAGACGCGTCGAACGCGGCGGAAAGGTGACGATTTCGCTAACCTTTGTTGTTGTGTGCGTGTAAGAGGAAAGGAGACGTTTAGGTGTGTGGCTACAAAAACGCCTTTTTTGTGTCGGAACGGAACATTTTTTTGGTGTTCGATCTCGGGGAGCAAACAAACAAAGAAACCGTCTTTCTTGTCGTTCGTTCTAGAGTTTCTCTCCCGCGTCTCGTCATAATGCTGCTGCCCGCGCTCCCGGCTGTCAGTGATGACTGCGCTGCAAGGATTGCTTCCCCCCCTCCCCCCTCCCCCCTCCCCCCCTCTCCCCATTCGCTCTGAGCTCACTCACTAGTCGACCCAATATTTCCCGCACCCGCCTTGAGCCCACGTTTGACGTGTCTCGACGTCCTTCCGTGCTGCGTGGCGTGCATGGCAGTCAAGGCCCATGGACCTGGCCTCATCGGTCCAAACAAGCGGCGAAAGCGGTGTCGGGGGATGACGTTGGGAGGATACTCTTCGGCAAGCCGTTGCCTCACGAGGAGGAGACTCCCAAGCAGGTGCGTTGGGTTGATTGGTCCGACCGTGCTTTTTTCGTTCAAGGTAGATTGCACGTACTGCGCGTACCTACCACTCGCCATTCTCCCTAGATTTTTGGGGGTAAAAAAATGGCCTCTTATCTCGTTCTTTAATATAAAAGCTCGTTGTTGCGCCATGTATCTGTTGAAGTTAGTGGTTATCCTTTTTATATGCTTTTGTTCGGTATAATTGAAGTCGGTGGGTGGACTGGGTGGGCGGTGCAGGTGGAGCTGCGGTCCAAGTGGCTGGAAGACAGGAAGCCAGTGACTCGCAGTGGCAGGGCCGCTAAGGAGAAGGCAGCTGCTGCCGCGAGACTGGAGGTGGAGGAGCAGAGGAAGGAGGAAGATTTGCAGCAGCAGCGGCAACAGCAGCAGCAGCAGCAGAGGCAACAGCAGCAGCAGAGGCAACAGCAGCGGCAGCAGCAAGAGCAGCAGCAGCAGCAGCAACAGCAACAACAACAACAGCAGAAGGATTTGAAAGGACAGATGAAACCGCATTCGACGAGTAAACGACAGCAGAAGCAGCAGCAGCGGAAGGATGTGAAAGAGTTGAAGCCGCGTTCGATGAATAAACAGCTGCAGCAGCAGGAACAAGAGAACCCGGGTCAGGAAACGCAGAAACCCCAGTTGAGAAGTCGAGGTCGTATAGGGCCAAATCAGAAGGTCCAGAGCGAGTCAGCGAAGCATTCACCTGCGGACACAGGCAGAGGCACGGGGAAGTCAGGAAGAGGGAAGGTTGAGCCTTTACTGGAACCGGAGAGGAAGGAAAGGAGAGGAGGCGAAATCAGGGCAGCGGCTACTAGAAGGGTGTTGGAGAGGAGAAGAGAGGAGGAGCCAGCAGAATGTCAGAGTAATTCAGTGGTTGAGGTGCCGTTACGTAAGGATGGGCTGAATGTGGGAGGGAGTTTGGTGGAAGGAAGAGAAGTGGCAGGCGTGGATATGGCGAGGAGAGAGGGAGTTGTGTCGAATGGAGGGGATGTTGAAGAAGCAAGAGGGGGAGATGATCATAGTGCCTTGGAGAGCGGGAGTGAAGGGAGTGAGAGTGAGGAGAGTGAGAAAAGTGAGGAGAGTAAGGAGGGCGACAAGGGTGACTCGGAGTGGGGCTTGCGGCCGCATAGGAAGTCAAGTGGGTTGAGTGTGTCCCCAGGCAAAGGGCGGGTGAAGAGGGAGCATGGGAAGCAAGAGCGCACTGTTTTTGTGTCCGAGAAACAGACATATTTTGCGGAAGTAGATGCTTTTGAATTGGAGGAAGAGGAAGCATCGGATGGTGGCTAATTGTCAGAACCCCTGTGCTGGTCTTCTGACACTAATTGACGGCTAAAGGTAGTTGAAGGTGAGTGACAACTGACCCAAGGTGGTATGCAGATTTACTAACAACGAATATGCCGTATTCTTGTATATAGGATATCAGGGTTTAGGGTACTTTGATGTTGATTTCTGATGTTGATGAAAATGGTGTCTCTATGCCAGCGCCTAAACCCAAAACACAAAATTGGTTTTGGCCCACCCTGACTAATCAGGGTTTCAGGCCAGCTCTACCCTGACTCATAGCCCAAAAACATTTCTATGGTCGCAAGATCAAGTCCCGGCGGCAGATGCACCGTTTTGCGACTTCGCAATTGAAATCCTCGCTACAGAGGATTCGGTATCAGTGAAATATGCAGGGTAACCGAAATCGTTATCAGTGTAAATCAAAACTTTCTTTTTGCTCTAAGGTAAAATTTTTTATACCCCCTGTTTTGGCAAGGGTGACTGGGAAAAAGCGGCCGCCCATCAGGGCAAACAGGGTATTTTACCCTGATAATTTAGGCCCTGCTCTATGCCATACTGTAATTTTACCAGCAAGTCAAGATTGATTGTGGGTTGCACCATGAATGAAAGTTCAGCAATGATTGGCAAACTTACTGAACCTAAAACTAAGGGTACATTCCGCTCTGGACATGTCCCAATCGTACATGTCCCAATCGATTCCACCGCTCCGAACCGAACTAAACCAGAGACGCGAAAATTTTGACAATGTTTGAAACTAGGGTGTAATTCGGTGTAATAAGATGCAGTGCGGTGGAATCGATTGGGACATGTACGATTGGGACATGTCCAGAGCGGAATGTACCCTAAACTTGTAGTCCGGATCTAAACTTTGCCAACGTTCGAACTTTCTGTCAGATTACAATTGTATCTCTAGGCTACAGTAGGGTCACTCCTTAGTGAGTACAACACTTTAGGGTTAGGTTTCCCCTACTTGTACTCACCTCTTGCCTAGTCCAATCCATCATTCCTAGTTCTATTCTTGACATGTTATCAGAGTAGGAACCGTTCCTACATGGGCCCACCGTTCCGCCTAGTGGTAGCACCACGCCCTACACAGTAGCCAGTGCGCTGGCGCCCCTAGCTCTCACTGTCGCGGCCCTTGCAGCCCGTGCGCTGCCCCTGCGACCGCGCTGCCCCTGCGACCGCGCTGCCCCTGCAGCCGTGCTCGCCCCTACGAGGTACTGGAGGTACTACTGGTGCTGGAGGCGCTGGAGCTGGAGCTGGAGGCACTGGAGGTGCTGGAGGTACTACTGGTGCTCGAGGTGCTGGCGCTGTCGGAGCTCGTGGTGCTGGAGGTGCTGGTGCTACTGGTGCTGGAGGTGTTGCTGGGGGTACTGGAGGAGCTGCTCGTGCTGGAGGTACGGGAGCTACTGGTGCTCTTCGCCACCTTCTCAATCTTCCGCCAGGTGCTACTGGCTTCCCTGTGGCAGGTACTACTCCTCCGTTGCTGTGTCCGCCAACGGACCAGTCACAGCCACCGCTGCTACCACACTCCCCACTGCCTGCTCCTGCTCCTTACACTGCGGTGTCAGAGTCCCTGACTGAGCGTCGAGAGCCTGAGACTCGTGCTTCCACCCCTGAGCGTCGAGAGCCTGAGTCTAGCTTTGACCTTGAGCCTGAGCCTAGAGCTGCTGTCCGTGCTCGTGTTCCTCGTGTTCGTCGTCCGCGTGCTCCGGCTGTCCCCGGCACTCACGATATGACACTCCGTCCTTCCTCTGTTCCTCAGCGTGTTGTACTACCGTTACCTCCTGCGTCCTCTCTGCCTAACGTTGCTGACCCTCCGTCTGACCTTGCTCGTGCGTCCAGTCCGACTGCTACTCGCCTTCTTGCTACGGTTGTGACGGACCCTACGTTCTCGTCTCCTAATGCGTCTGCCCTAGTAGCTGAGCTTGTTGACTTTGCTGCTGTGTACCGCCTAGACTACCTTGCGATTCTTGTCTCTGACCCTGTCCCTGCCTGTCCTCCGTCTGTCGGGGGTGAGACTGCTCTTGGCTGTACTGCCCTTGGCTGTGACGTTCTTGAGGACAGGTAGGAGGAGCTGGAGTGCCTTGCTGCCGCTTCACCCCATCACGCGACCATGCTGCTTGCCCCTAAGGGAGACCCGGATGCACTTGACATCCCCACCCCGCGCTCCTACAGGGAGGCGATTTCGGGTGAGTACTCCTCTCAGTGGCAGACAGCCATGGACGCAGAGATGGCTTCCTGGAAGTCCACAGGCACCTACGTCGACGAGGTTCCCCCACCTGGGGCGAACATCGTCAGTGGCATGTGGATTTTCAGGGTGAAGCGGCCGCCGGGTTCTCCGCCTGCCTTCAAGGCACGTTACGTTGCTCGAGGCTTCAGTCAGCGTGAGGGGGTCGACTTCTTTCAGACCTTCTCCCCCACCCCGAAGATGACCACTCTTCGGGTGTTGCTACACGTTGCAGCTCAGCGTGACTACGAGCTGCACTCCCTCGACTTCTCGACAGCTTTCTTGCAGGATAGCCTTCACGAGGCCATCTGGTTGCGCCGTCCACAGGGCTTCACTGGGTCGTTTCCTGAGGGTACCCAGTGGAGCCTACGGCAACCAGTGTACGGCCTGCGTCAGGCGCCCTGTGAGTGGCACGACACACTGAGGACGACACTTGCGGCTCTTGGGTTTGCTCCTTCGACTGCTGACCCGTCGCTGTTTCTACGCACCGACACTACTCTGTCGCCGTTCTACATCCTCGTGTACGTCAACGACTTGGTTTTTGCTACTGCTGACACTGAGGCACTGGCCCTAGTGAAGGCGGAGCTGCAGGAGAGACACACCTGCACTGACCTGGGTGAGCTGCGGAGCTATCTTGGCTTGCAGATCACCCGGGACAGACCACGGCGCACCATCACCCTCACTCAGTCACACATGGTGCACCAGGTCCTTCAGCGCTTCCGCTTCACTTGGTCCTCGCCACAGCCCACTCCTCTGTCTACCGGCCACTCGCTCTCAGCTCCACCTTCGGACGAGTCCGTAGAGCCGAGTGGTCCGTACCCAGAGCTTGTGGGTTGCCTCATGTACCTGATGACGTGCACACGACCTGACCTCGCGTACCCTCTCAGCCTCCTGGCTCGCTACGTGGCACCTGGTCGACACCGAAAGGTGCACTTTGATGCTGCGAAGAGGGTACTGCGTTACTTGTGCAGCACATCGGGCATGGTGCTCGTGCTTGGAGGACGGGGTTCGGTGGTCCTCACAGGACACTCTGACGCTTCTTGGGCCGACGACCAGACGACTCAGCGTTCATCACAGGGTTACACATTTAGTCTTGGCGCTGGTTCTGTCTCGTGGAGGTCCACTCGTTCTTCTTCTGTGCTTGGTTCCAGCTGTGAGGCCGAGATCTACGCTGGGGCCATGGCTGCACAGGAGCTACGCTGGCTGACCTACCTGCTGACCGACTTGGGGGAGCGGCCTCGTTCTCCTCCAGTCTGTACGTCGACAACAAGGCAATGCTTTCCTTGTGTCGCGAGCAGAGACTGGAGCACAGAACGAAGCACATTGCTCTTCGCTACTTCCTTGCGCGTGAGCTGCAGCAGCGTGGTCAGCTGCGCCTTGCTTACGTGGCCTCTCGGGCCAACATTGCTGATGTCTTCACCAAGGCCCTTGGGGCTGGTGATCATCACCGTTTCTGCACTGCTCTTGGGCTTGTGCCCACTCTGCCTCACCTGTTGGTTGCTTGACTTGCTCTTGTTGTACACTGCTATATATCTTTATACCTGCATGTTTTCTCTTGCTAGGTTGTGATCAGTGTACTGCCTTGCTATTATATACCTCTGCATGTGAACTGGTCTTGTGGCCACTTGCTTGTGCTCAGAATGCGTGGTGACTTTGTGATCCACCCTGAGCTGTGTTCTCTTCTGCAGACTGGTCTTGTGACCGCTTGTTGTGTTTGCTGTCCCCTACTTTGCCTATGGGGGTGTGTCAGATTACAATTGTATCTCTAGGCTACAGTAGGGTCACTCCTTAGTGAGTACAACACTTTAGGGTTAGGTTTCCCCTACTTGTACTCACCTCTTGCCTAGTCCAATCCATCATTCCTAGTTCTATTCTTGACACTTTCAGAAAGGTTTTACATGGTAGGAAGGATACATTTAAGTAACTTGTCACAAGGTGCAAAGAGGTTAGAGATCTAGCTTCTGTTGGGCTGAGAAAAGCCCTTAGGATCTTTGCAAGGCTAAACTCAGAGTAGAACTGTTGTAGTTGCGGAAGCGGTTTAATGATAAGTATTGAACCACCTTGCGCTAGTATGTGAGGGCAAGATAGATTGATTATAAGAAAGTAATACAAGTCTTTTATAAAATTACAAGGAATATGAAAGGGTGCAACTAATAACTGTTTTACTGTTGCTGTTGCGGTTCGATACAGTGACGACTCGTGCAACTGCTCAGTATCGAGTCAGTTGTTTGCCCTTGCTGTCGCGCTGTATTTGTCAAGTCAAAGGTCGCTGACCTTTGACCTTCGCGTAACCTCCAGCAGTTACTTCTCTTGTCAACCTCCGATGGTGGACTCGCCGTTGCTTCGTTGTAGTTTGCTTCGCTTGCAGTTCAGTGTTTCGACACATCAGAAGCGCTTAAGTCACTTGTTTCCAACACTCCCCTTCGCTTCTGGAGTGTCGCCGCTGGTGACGTGGCTTTGTCCAGTCAGCATCATGCAGTACTCGAACTTCTGTTTTCCGAGCTTCTTGGTCAAGTAATCAGCTGCCATCTCGGACGTGGGACAGTAGGACAGCTCAAGTCTCCCCTTCTCGATCTCGTCCTTCACGAAGAAGTATCGCAGGGCGATATGCTTCGTTCTGTTCGCGAATCCATTCTTGTTGGCGATGCGAATTGCTGACTGATTGTCGCAAAACAGAGAGAAGCTGGGTAACTGGGCCAGCTTCGCTTCTTCCAGTAGTTCGCGAAGGTATAATCCTTCCTTGGTGGCGGAGCAGAGTGCAATATATTCTGCT